GATAGCCAAAGGTCTGCCTCTGGCTAAAACGCAGAGGAAGCTCCCATCTCACAATATATTTCACCTCCTTTCTTCCCCACATGAGGGGCTTGAGCAGTAAGATAAATAAAAAATGCTTCTTGGCCACTCATGCAGCAAAAGCCATTTATCCCCCAGGCCAAGTGGTGAGTGGGTCTCTGCAGAACAGAACACAAGGGGTGTCCTGGTGAGTTCTCTCCTCTCTGATGAACAAGAGAAAAGACCTTCGCCGTGACCTCCCTGGGTCCCCTAGAGCCAGACAGCTGGTGACCACACAGAGATGTTCTTGCTAAACGAGTAGGAGCAGCGAAGCAGGAAAGAGGGGAAATTGCTGATACTTTGGTCTGCAACTATTAGTAGATATTTTAATTCTAATCCAGTAATAAGATAGAGTTAGTGAGGTGATTCCTGAAGATAAATTGCTTTGAGGAGAATAAATCTTCCAGAGTAAAATTAGTCCAAAAGCATATGAAAATGTCCAATGTGAGTTAATTGCTCCTGATGACCTACTACTAGTTTTACATACATACAGAGAGAGAGAGAGAGGCAAAAAGTAAAGATCAAATATCAGCAAATGGCAGGAAAATAGAATTGATGATCTTGTAAACTGTGCTAAGGATGTCTAATCTAGAGACCAATGTTTCTGGCTTTATCATGAAATGCCCAAATTGTTAACATCATTCTACTACTACTAGAAATTAGTACACTCACTTCAGTTTACTGAAGGGTGTCATCAGAATGAAAACACTGATATAAGCAAACACTCATTTCTGGCAACAGAAAAATAAATAGAAACACAATCCATGGGGCATTCCTTTGTCCTGCTCTTTTTCCTCCCAGGAAGAAGTTATTATAAAGTGTTCCCACACTGCCACATCTGAAGAAATGATGGAGCCTTTCCAGTTCTGGCCCTTCCTTCGTCTCTGTATTTTTTTCTAAATCCAGAATTAACATTAGAAAATCCCTGAACCTTTTAACATCTGTCTTCTCAGATTCTAGGCAAGCTGGCTTCTCCACAGCTGATGGAAGAAGCAGCAGTCCATACTTGAGGAACAACCCCCATGCCAAGGACTTGCCAGCAAAGACTCCATTTCTGAAGCAACTCTGTGGCACATAAATGGAAAAATAACATATTAGATCAACAGAGGTTAACAAATGCCATAGTCTTCAAGTTGTAGGCAGTTTCAGGTGCCTGTCTTAGTTTGGCTCAGGCTGCTTTAGTAAATTACTAGCAACCGGGTGCCTCAAACAGACATTTATTTTCTCACGGTTCTGGAGAGTGGAAAGTCCAAGATCAAGGTTTCCTCAGGATTCAGTTTCTCATGAGATCTCCCTCGTGATCTGTGTCCATATGTGCCCGGCCTCCACGTGTGCCCATGGACAGAAAGCCAATGAGCTCTCTCACTGTTGTCTCTTCTCAGAAAGACACTAATCCATTTGGATCAGGGCCCCACCTTTATGACCTCATTTAACCTTAAGTACTGCCTTACTCCAAATATAGCCATTCAGGGGGTTAGGGTTCCAACATATGAATTTGGAGACATCATTTATATTCAGTCTGTAACATTACCTATGGAGAAATTTGTTATTCTTTGGAACTTATTATTTACTCAGTCAGTATTTATTCACTTCCTACTATATGCTAGGCATTTTCCTGATGTGAAAGGAAAAAAGAGAGAGGAGAGGAAATATTCAGAGGAAAAGAAAGAGTGAATGCATTCATGTCCGAACAATGACTACCTCACATCTTCAAGTCTTCAGTTTTGTATATCAACCATTAAGGTGAGTTTACTGACTCATTAAATGCCACTTCTACACATTAAGTATGATGCCTCAGGTGGAAGTAGTACAATTCAAGTCACTATTTGTGAGTTCTTCCCAAGTTTTGATGCACCTGTAGATTCTGCATTGTGTTATTGAACTTCCACTACTTATTTATCCAAAAAAGTTCTTTCTTCAATCAGTTCTTAATTCTGCAAGCCCTTGGGGGCCAGGGCCTTGCTCTCTTCCGATGAATCCCACAGCTACATACTGTCTGATACATATACACATTCATACCATTGTTGAATAAATAAAGAAACAATAGTAACAATGCACAGAATTTTAAAACATTTTAATATTTAAATTTTAATATTAAATATTTAATATTTAAGAAATAATCTCCTAAAACCCTATCCTTATGTTTCTTACCATAGGCCTTCTTTCTCCTATGAATTAGCTTTAAAAAAAATGGTGTAGGATTTTATTTTGTCTTTTAATTAATAGATCAGAGATTTAGCCAAATCCTATTTGATTTTGGCTTGAGTCAATCTTTCACTCCTGTGTTGGCATCATCAAAATCCACAAGTCCCAAGTGGACAGTGTCTTTCCCATCTCAGCATGGGTCTTACTTTTCATTCAACAATTATTTATGAAGCTCCAACAATTTAAGCACTGACCTAGGAACAGGGTGATGTAATGGTGAAAAGAAACAGACTCAGTCCCTGCCCTAATGTTGCTTACACTCTAGTGAAGGAAACAATCATGATAATAAATGCATAATTACTAACTGGACAAAAAGTACTGACGAAGAGGAAACCAGGTCTGTAAAATCTGAGAATCAGGTAAGAATTCAAAGAACTTGTCATTACCAATAATGCAACTCCTCCATAATGATAATTTCAGGTGTCACAGTCTTTATGCATCATCTCCTGAGTTTCCAGTTTCCTCCCGCTAGTTACCCATCTCCAGCAATCCTTTGATACCAACATGACTTACAACCCACGGATGCCATCACTTTTTCACTGTCCCTTATCCCCTCCTGTACTTTCTTTCCACATTTCCCAGCTTAGATGACATAGCCAATCATATCATTCCTTTACCCTCCATCCCCGAGCCCCCCTTCACTTCTTCATATTCTGTTCTAGCAAACTGTTAATTAACTCTAACTCTTTGGCTTCTCCATGCATTTGCCCACACAGCAAAACACTCTAGAGAAAAACACACAACGATAACAATCTAGTCTCACGTTAAATGTGGGACCACAAACCTGTTTTACCTTTAACACTGCCTGCAAGGATACTCTATTTCCAAATCCACCCCTTCATCATCTGCTTACCAGTTCTCACAGGTGATGATCTTGCATCCTGCAAGATCCTGAGAACTAATGCACTAAGTAGAATTTCCACTAACTCCCACTACCACATCTGTCTGCCTACCAGCATGTGTCTAACTACCACGCATTCTGCCTCACCTCCCATTACTATAAATGAACTGCTCATACACCTGTCTGCTGCAGACTTGTGCACTCGATCCCGCCCCCATGAGTCTATTCAGTGGCATCACTGTAAGGATTCTCCCTTTCTCCCACATCGGCAAATTTCCCTTCACTACTGGACCCTTCTCATTACCATTCAAACATGCTGTTATTTCTCCTACCTAGAAAAATCCCTCTCCCAGGCCTGCTTCTCACTCCAGCTAATTCTCCATTTCTTTACCACCTTTATGACAAATCATCTTTGAGGAGTTCTTTACACTTGATGTCTCCAGTCTCTCCTCTTCCATCTGCCCATGAATCTACCCCAACTGGGTTTATAATCCTCCACCAAAACAACCACCAATTACCTCCATATTGTCAAACCCAATGGGCAAATCCTACTCTTCATCTCATTTGATCAACCAGTAATATTTGACATAGACTACTTCCTTCTCCTGGAAATACTTTCTTAGCTTGGTTTCCAGAACAACACAGACTGCACCACTGACCACTCCTTCTCAGTCTTCTTTCTCCTGGACCTCTTGATGTGATAGTGCCCCAAGCCTCAGTCCTTGGAACTTTAATCTTCTCTCATCCATTCCCTTGGGGTCTCATCTAATCATGGCTTTAAAAACTGTCTAAGCTGATAACTCTCATGTTTATATCTCCAGTCCGGATTGCTCTGCTAAACTCCAGACACATATATCCCAGCCTGCTCTGTAATGTCTAACAGACACCTCCTACTTAATATGCCCAGAACCAAAGCCCTTATCTCCCCAAAGCCTGCTGAATCATTGTGGTTTCCATCTTAGTTGATGGCAACTCCATCCCTGGTCAAGCAAAACCTGCACAGCCTTCCCTGAATCCTCTCGTTCACTCACATCCCTCACACCCAATCCATCAGTAATCCTGTTCACTCTATCTTTGAAATAGCTCCAGACTCCAATCACTTCTCACCACTTCTACTGCCAACGCTCTGCCCCAAGCCACCATCACCTTGTCCCCCTAATTGATCTCCCAGCTTCTGTCATTGTCCCCCTATAGTCTGCTATCAACACAGCAACCAGAATGACCCCAGTAACTTCCCATCTCAGAGTGGAAGCCAAAGACCTCACCATGGCCCTTTATCTCCTACTGCTCTGCCACTCACTCACTCACTCACTCACCCCACTCCACTTCACTCTACTCCACTGGCCTCTGGCTGTTTCTCAAGCAGGCCAGGCACATTCCAGCCTTAGAGATTTTATACAGCTACCTCCTCACTCTCCCTCCTCTTTCCTCAGAAATCTGTATGTCTCAGTCCTTTACCTCCTTCAACATCATCTTCTTGGTGAGTCCCTCCCTGTCCAGCCTATATGAAATTACAAACCAGTGCCCCACTCTGTGCTCCATATGCCCTTTACTTGTTCCATTTTTTCCCCAAAACACTCATCAGCTTGAAACACAGTACATAATTTACTTATTGTGATTATTGTCTCCCTGCTAGAATGTAGGCTTGGCCAGGGCAGGGATTTCATTTATTTTTTACTTGTGTATCTCAGGCGCCTGGCACACTGTCAGCACCCAGTGAATATACATTGAGTGAATACATGAAACAAGAGGAGGAGACATGGTCACTCAATAGCCACAATTAAAATACTCAGTTTATCCAGGGGTGAAGAGGGTGATGAGTAAAAGGACCTCTATGTTCCCATTAACAAATTAGCATTTATTAGCATATTTACACATACATTTTCATCAAATTACCTGGTTGTTACTTTGGAAAGTGGCCTGAGACCAAAAGAAGGCTTCAGATACCTGGTAACTTGAAGAGAGTTTAAGTTTTTTTTAAACTTTCTTACAACCCATCAATCTACTCCAAAGAGTAAATGACTGTGAGCTTGTACTCCGAAGGTAAATGAGGAGTGGGCATGGCCCACCAAAACCTTACATTTCTTTAAAGTGTCATATTTTAGCTTTAAAAGTCATATACATTTTGTTCTCATCTCTGTAACACATCCATTTGTTTTAATACAAAAATAATGTTAAATTATTTAATAGTTTAACTCCTTGATTTCCCAAATAATCTTAGAGTAAAATTCACAAATGACAAAGGGGTGCCATGTTTGTCCTGAGCATCACATACTCCCAGTGGGTATTGGAATCCCACTTTGAGAATCACAGGACACTTGGGAACCACCACAATATCTAGGAGGTTTGTAGGGCCAAACAGAAGCATAAATGCAAACTGGCCTATTTCACAATTTTGCACTGCCTGACCCTAACTGACCCTTCTTAAAGGTCCTATTCAAAGGTTCCTTTGAAATAAACAGACTGTGTAGATTTCTGACATTGCTGTCACAGTCTTCTAATGATTAAACACTTTGCTCTAGAGCAATCTAGAGAAGCTGAACTGACATTTTATGTCTTCCCTCTAACATGCTTTAGCAGCTCTAACTCGGAAGTCATTCCAACTGATGAGAGGAATTAAGGAGGAGAGTAATTTTAATGAAAATGATATTAATTAATACGCATTTCCATTTGTGGTTAAATAAAGCAAAATAAATAAAATGTTCCATCTTTTAGATAAAATCTTGGGGTGGGGGTTGAGCTCAGACACTACAGCTCAGCCAGCTAGCCCTTCCCTCCCCGCATTCTAACCTCTACTCTTATCCCCTCTTTTCTCTCCCCGCCCCCACTTCACACCCTAACATTTAGATTAAAGGCCACATTGGGGCTAGGGTTAATACTTGCTGTAATGGGTTTAAGTCTGACTCCTGACTCTTTCAGTGCCACTGTCCTTAAAGCTCCAGGAAGGATTCTGACTTTCAGCCCATGCTATATGCTGAATGAATCCCCCAAAATTCACATGGTAAAGTCCTAACCACTGGTACCTCAGAATGTGACTGTATTTGGAAATGGGGTCTTTAAAGATGTAATTAAGTTAAAATGAGTTTACTAGAGTGGGCCCTAGTGCAATACAACTGACAACACTGTAGGAAGAGGAGATCAGGACACGGAGCAAAGATCACGTGAAGCCACAGGGAGAAGACAGCCATTTACAAGCCAGGAGAGGGTCTTCAGGAGAACCTAACCCTACTAGAACCTCGATCTCAGACTTCTAGCCTCCGGAACTGTAAGAAAGTTAATTTCTGAGGGTAAGCTGCCCAGTCTGTAGTGCTTTGCTACAGCAGCCCCAGCAAACTAACACAGCCCGTAAATAACAGGTGCAATTCACTAATGATGAAAGTAAGGAGTGGACGTGGCTGACGATGGTGCCCAGACGGCAGAAATAGAGCAGCAGGTAGAGGGAGAATAAAACTCTGAAAATCTGAGTATGTTTTTA